CTAAATGAAGAGATAAATATGTTTTAGAAATTCAAAATTACACATTATCAAATAGAAAAAGCATTTGTGTAAGTTTGCACTCAAACAATATGATCAAGCACTTAAATAAGTACTTTGACTAAAAACTCTACCAATTAAGTATTTTTTGATAAGCCATTGTAAACCCGAATGGGCCCTTGTTCCTGTCTATTTGATACGTAGTTTTAGTTTAATTTACTTCAAGTTGTAAATAAATTTTACAGAAAATTTTGCTTCTCATTGATGTGATTTTACTATTTTTTTTTTTGTCGTAACCACTTATTTGAATAGCTTTAAGAAATTTAATTTGGAAATCTTTTCCTCAATCAGTTATCATAAATTGCTTTAGAACCAAACAAAAATGACTTGCTCCTCTCTTAAACCGTCATCAGTTGCAATTGGGCTGGAGAGTCTGAGTTATTGTCTAGGCGCTTCTTATTTCACCTCGAAATTGAATGTCAGGGAACAAGGAATGGTCATCAAAGAAATTTTAACCAGCATACAAGATTTCTGATATTAGTTATTTATTTCAGATACGAATATTATTTTGGTTGACTTGGTTTATAGTTTAACCATTGGTTTTCTGGTTTGAATATGCCGTCATTCATCTTATAAATAGATTTATTTAATTGTTTTTTTAACTTTGAAAGTGAGACAACATATCCACATCGTCTTTGGAATACCTGAGGAACGTGATGGACACTAAGCAATTGTTTCTAGTGGAGGAATTTTAGACTTTTCTCCGATATCAAATTCAGAATTCGAATTTTCTATGCATGCTTGACAGTGTATTACTCTGTAAATTGTTTCTTCTGTTTATAATGCGCATTAGGCCCTGAATTTTTGATGCACTGATTTAATTTATATTTGCTACCAAGACTTGATGTTTGTTGAAATGGCACAATCAATCTTTTTATATTCTGTTATCTTGGACTCTAGATGCCTGTCTAATGTTGCAAATCTTGTGTGGTGTAAAAGATCGCTATTTTTCTATATCAAATACAATTGATATTTGCTAATTTTACATATTCAAGGCAAACAAATGGTTTGTTTCAATTTTTTAATTTATTTAATTTCCTGAGTTATATTTTTGGTTAATTAAAATGACAGACTTGGTGACCAATGTTTACAAGGAGATACCATTAGTTTTTATAGGAAGACACGCGATAGCATATAGAAGGAGGGATAAAATGTGAGACCGAAATTAAAGTGGAATAGAATATCTCAAATTCACCTCAAATCTTGTGTTCTACTTCCTATTCCACTACTTATCCCATATTTTATTGTATTGTCTTTTTCCCTTTACAAACATCATATTCTAAATATTTTTTTAAAGGTTCTAGTAATTAAAAACAATGAAAATTGGTAAAATCACAGGTGCTAGTCCAATGATTAGGAAAAAGCCTAAATGGGTTAAAATAATAGTATAAAATAGAAAAACACAAAAATACAATAGAAATTCATAAAAGTTCTATTTTTTAATATATATATATATATATTTTTTAATTTGTTGTATGTTGCTTTTAGCCAACATTAGTTACTGGAACTTAAGGAAACAAAAAAGCATAAAAAAGCATATTTGTAAAGGATAAATTATAATATAATGAGAGGTAAGAAAAAGAGTTGGACAAAAAGTGTGATACAAGATCTTTTGCTTCATTTTACCTTTTTTCATTTTTTTGTCTCAAATATAAATTAAGCATGGACTTAAACTTGCATTTATCACTTAATTACTCTCAAGCTGGGTACATGGACTTTTTCAAAACTAATAGATCGAGAATTTTATTCTTCTACTGCCGTAACATGTACTGCATTGCAAGCCTCATCATAACACAATGAAATAGCTATTCTCTTCATGGTTCCGAGACCTCTCCATTTGAGATTCTATCTAATTCCGTCCATTTGTGTAAATTGATATAATTTTAATATAAATTAATATATTTGATGTAATCGTGAATTTTACACTAATTCAATTATAAATCAAGTTTATATTAAAATTGTATCAATTTACACCGAAATTTTGTCAGTTTGCACAATACTTCATTCCCTTAAAAAAATAGTCTTTCGCTTGTCTCGTTGCCTCGTGGGCTGTTTAAAACGGCATACTAGTGTAAAAAATTGACTACTTGCGATTTTATGTTGGCAGTGTTACGTTGAAAGTCAATCAAGCAGCCAATTTTCAGGGGGAGATCCAACCTTAGAAACAGTCTAACAACGATGAATCGATTCAAAGGTTGAACTTTATAACTGCATGTCTCGACTTAACTCTTACATTCTCTACCTATATATATATACACGCCACCTTCAATCCTCTCCAAATCATCATATCCTATTTTGGCACTTCAAAGTTCAAAATCCCAATATCACAACTCATAGACACATTAATTTTATGATATATATCCCTAACTAAGACTTCAATCTTCAGGTCATTTTATTGTCTAATAGATTCAATTTCTTTTTTTTTTTTTTTTATAACAGGTTCTTTTAGAATCAAATTTACATGGCAACGCTTCAATCTTCAGCCTTATTCCATTATTCATTACCTTATTCTGCGCCCAAGATATCTAGAAATGGCACCATCATGGCCATTCTTGATATCCCAAAATCAAGGACTGGTAATATTCCTCTTCACAATCTCCAGTCAGCTGGACTATTGGTGAAGGAGCTGGACTTGGCTAGAGGTTTCATTGGCAACAAAAAATTTACAAAGAAAAGTGAAGAAAATGAAAGAGCGGATTCATTAGTGATGGCAAAGCTTTATGCAGTATTGGAAGCGGTTGCAGATAGAGTGGAGATGCATAAGAATATTGGAGATCAAAGGGACAATTGGAACAGCTTACTTTTGACGTCAATCAATGCAATTACTCTTGCAGCTGCAACAATGTCCAGTATTGCAGCCACAACTGCGGTTGGTTTTGGTTCTGGTGCTTCCTTGGCTGCTTTGAAGCTATCTTCCACGCTGATGTTTCTGGCAGCAACAGGGATGTTGTTCATAATGAATAAAATTCAACCATCCCAACTAGCAGAAGAGCAGCGAAATGCTGCAAGATTGTTCCTGCAGCTGCAAAGACAAATCGAAACAACAATAGCTATAGGCAGACCTACAGGTCATGATGTCGAGGAAGCAATGGAGAAAGTATTGGCACTTGACAAGGCCTATCCACTTCCTATCCTTGGTGTTATGCTCGAGAAATTCCCGGCTACAGTAGAACCAGCAGTTTGGTGGCCTCAGCAAGCAAAAGAGTCCGCCCACAAGACCTGTTTGAAATCAAATGGCTGGAACTCGAAACTTGAGAAGGAAATGAGATCAATCGTTGAGGTTATAAGAAGAAAAGATAAAGCAGATTATTTGAGGCTGGGTGGAAAAGCTTTGACGCTGAACAAATTGTTAGCCATAAGTGGCCCCTTGTTAACTGGGCTAGCGGCAATTAGTTCTGCATTCATGGGTTCATCTTCTCATACTGGTTTCTTGGCAGCCATGCTTGGAATTGTGGGCGGTTCATTGGCAAGCATTGTAAATACGTTAGAGCATGGAGGACAAGTTGGAATGGTGTTTGAGATGTACAGGAGCAATGCTGGTTTCTTTAAACTCATGGAAGAATCTATAGAATCTAACTTGATGGAGAGACGGGAAAATGGTGAATTGTTTGAGATGAAGGTGGCTTTGCAATTAGGAAGGAGGGTATCAGAGCTGAGAGATCTCGCATCTTCTCCAAAAAGTAAAGGAGAAGGTGCTGAGGAGTTTGCAAGCAAACTTTTTTGATAGGTTGTTTGTCAAATTTTGATGAATTCCTGTAAATTAACCCTGTACACACATGAATAGCTACGTAATCTGTATAGTTTCTTACTAGGATTACTAATCAAATTTGATGAAATTTCTTTATTCTATATATATATCTAATGTAATCTGTATAATTTTTAACTAAAATTATTGGTAAAATGTGATGATTCTTATAGTTCTTTATATATCTGATTCCTGTGTTTCTAATCGTTTCGATCTGTAGGCATTAATTGCTTCAGACCAAACAAGATCTACTTAATGATGCTTTAATTGATCTAAAATCATTTGTTACAGTCAAATCTCATGCTAGGATCTTCTGACTTCGGGCTCACAGAAAACAAATCTTGTGATTTAAGGGCTAACGTAATGCAGTGGTCAAAGTTTTGAACCTTGTTATATAACCATTAGATGTTATTGGTTTGAAACTTTAGCTCATGATAAATACATTTAATGTAATGTTCACCTATTCACAAAATCAGACGGCCGCTTTGCACTATATAGTCCTTGATTTAAGTGAAAAAGGACAACAGTTATGATTTTATGGCCGGGTATGTATTGTCGAGTCCAATTCTACCACCAGAGAAATATTTTCTTGATTAAACAACTCAGACATAATATAATCACCATAAGAGATTGATGCAGAGAAACGACACTTATGAATGCAGGACCCATCGGAGTAGTTTTGGAATTTTCAAAATTTAACTACCCGTAGAAACATAATTTTGCATGGCCATGTGATTGACCATTTTCAGACAGCTAAAAATAGCATAACCTGTCTCTTTCTTCGGTATGAAGGCAATAAAAATGTATCAGTATGATTCAGGATTCTAATATTTTATGTGGTAGGTTAGGATGTCAACTTTGAAAGCTGCTATTAGAATTTGCACGGGCAGAAAATATTATAAGGTCGACTGGATTAGATAAATGCTGAAAGGGCTTAGTGGCCAAAGGTCCTTACATTTTTGGGCCATGTTGGCTGTTTCAACACTTTTTTTCACGGGACAATAATTTTGAAAGTCAATCCAAGGTGCCAATTCTCTCACAGTTATCCCACTCAAACATTGAAATCTTGTCCTATATAGTAGTCAAACCGTTGGATTGTCAACTACAGAGTTTATTTCCACAATATCCTCGTTCTTAAAAACTATTCTCAAACTAATGTACTTTCAAAATATATTCCCTTATTAATCTACTTGTTGCCATGTGGACTTTCAGTATGGAAAGTATTCACATTTCCATCTTATATTAAGGGGTATAATCCACATCAATAGATTTTAATACCTTTTCAATAGTTCAAATTTTGCTACTTATGTACAATTTTAAAGATAAATAAAAATATTTCTCTATCTATTATTGAGTTAATTAATATTTCTCACATTAGATTGGCTCATGTAGCGTGTTAATTTTGATACTAACACTGATCTAGTTATATTTTCTCTCTCCTATTTTTTTGGAATGTATTCTCTTTTGATAAGTCAAAAAATGCAAGAGAATTTTTTTCAAATTTTCTTTCCCCTTACATTGGAATTTTTATAGTTCGCGTAAACTATGATTATTACGTATCTTGAAATGTTTACTCGTACTTCAAACAATTTGAGTTTTTGCAAACTTCTTAAAATTTGCAAAGTTAGGAGGCTACGATATATAAAATTGCAAGTAACAAGAAAAAAAGAAAGGAACTTGTGATATAATAATCAAGAATAAAGCTAGGAAGGAATAATGGCAGCAAAAAAAAAAAAAAAAGGTTCTTCAGCAAAATTATTGCAATTTGGAGGGTGATCAACAATTTTAAAATACTAATTATGGATCCACTTTCCTTTTTTAATTTGTTTACAAAATGTCCTTAAAGTACTAAATAAAGAAAAACTGCGTAATATATAAACAAAAGATTTACAAGTTATTTTTTCTCTTTCGTGGGGAGTCTACATAGCAATAACTAGATTAATAAGGGAATAAAAACTGAAAGAGCATTACTTTGGGATTATTTTTTGAAAAGTAGATTATTTTAGCCAAAAACTCGTCAACTACATGCCCTCTTTCTCCATATATATACACCTTAGGATCCTCTCGAATCATGCCATTACATTTTCAAACTCATTAGTTACACAAGCAGAAACCAAAATATTTCAGACAGCATATATAGATGACCACTTGATCGAGTTTATACCCAAATTCACTCGAACAAAAGGAATAAAGATGGTAAGCCTTCGAGCTTCAGGCTTCCTGCACTTATCTCCCCCATTCAGCGCCTGATTTATGCAAGAAAGCCTCTATCTTGGCAATTCTTGATATCCCAAAATCAAAGAAAATAAATATTCCTCTTCTGAATCTCCAAACCAGAGGATTGGTGGATGAGATAGAATTCAGTAGAAGTTTTCCTTCTTTGACTACTTCCATTGTAGAGAAACAGGCCATCTCCATTAGTGATAGCAAATTTACAAGAAATGATACTGATGGAGCTGATTCATTGGTCATGGCCAAGCTTTATGCAATATTGGAGGCTATTGCAGATAGAGTGGAGATGCACGAGAATATTGGAGAGCAAAGAAATACCTGGAACAGCCTACTCTTGACATCCATCAATGCAATTACACTTGCTGCTGCAACAATGTCCGGTATTGCTGCCACAACTGCAGTTAGTGGTGCTCCTGTATCGGCCTTAAAGCTGTCTTCTACTCTTTTGTTTCTGTCAGCAACGGGGATGTTTTCATAATGAATAAAATTCAGCCATCCCAATTGGCAGAGGAGCAACGGAATGCTGCACGACTGTTTCAGCAGCTGCATAATCAAATTCAGACCACCATAGCTATAGGCAAACCAATAGATAATGATGTAAAAGAATCAATGGAGAAAGTTTTGGCTCTTGACAAGGCCTATCCACTTCCCATTCTCGGCATAATGCTTGAAAAGTTCCCATCTAAGGTAGAACCAGAGGTATGGTGGCCTCAACAACGGCAAAGACAAGTTGGAGAGCTTACCAGTAATGTGGATTCCAACGGATGGAGCTTGAAACTTGAGAAGGAAATGAGATCAATTGTTGAGGTTTTAAGAAAAAAAGATAAAGCAGACTATTTGAGGCTGGGTGGAAGAGCCTTGAAGCTGAGCAAATTGTTAGCCATAAGTGGTCCTTTGTTAACTGGGCTAGCAGCAATTGGTTCTGCATACGCGGGTTCTTCTTCTTATGTTGGTTACTTGGCAGCCATGCTTGGAGTTGCGGGTGGTGCATTAGCAAGCATTGTCAACACATTAGAGCATGGGGGACAAGTTGGTATGGTTTTCGAAATGTACAGGAGCAATGCCGGTTTCTTTAAACTCATGGAAGAATCAATAGAATCTAACTTGATGGAGAGACGGGAAAATGGTGAATTGTTTGAGATGAAGGTGGCTTTGCAATTAGGAAGGAGCCTATCAGAGCTGAGAGATCTTGCATCTTCTTCTTCAATCAAAGGAACGGATGTTGACGAATTTGCATGCAAGCTCTTTTAAGTCAAATTTTGACGAACTAATTCTCGCAAACTCTTGTATAGACACGCATAGCTAACGTAATTCGTAAATCTCTTGACAAGAATATAATTGATTAGAATTCTTCCACTTATTTGTTGAGCACATTTTCTATCGTATCTGTAATTTTTCTGCTCATATATTTGTTGAACAGTTAACTAGTCCATATTTCCTTTTGCCTTTATGAATTTTTTAAGGAAAAAAAATATAAAATATGATTAGTTAATTGATAAAGATAAAAAGGAAGATGTTCCACTTTATTACAGTCCCTATTTTTCTTCTCTTGCATAGATTAAATTAATTCTGGGGCTCATACTATTTACTTTGGAATCTGGTGTTAATTTTTTGCTTAGTATAGCAATGCTTTGGAATCAAATGAAGATCCAAAGTCATGTACTAAAAGTACCTTGCGACCAACATGGAATCACATTGTGGTGTAGAGTCTATTCCCAGTCAAAATAGGATTGCTCAATTAGTTATCTTAGTTTGCATTGGTTTTAGGTAATTGTTCAATATTATACATAACAGGCTTCGATGACGTGTGTCAGAGGTTAGATCCATGGCTTCATAAGTTATAATTTACTTCATTTGAGAGTAAAGTGGTCATTTAAATTTTTTTCTACTATATTTCAACTTATTTATGTTCTATTTATAACGTATTTACGTTCTATTCTAACTTACTTACACTTATAGACAAACTTATGCAAAATGGAATTTTTGAGGTCCCGTCCCCCCCAATTTGTCTTTATGCACAATCACATAACCATTTGGCTAGGTCCTGTCCGAGAACCATTTCAGAACCTTTAGTCAAGATTCAAGAATTTCGTGATAGTCCAAATTGTTAGATATATTGTACATGATCGAGTTGAAGGCGTCTAATTGCAGTAGTTTGTATGTTATATGAAGTTTACAGTACTTTGAAGCATTTTAATATTTGTAATTCGGCATTGTGCACCTTTAATATTGAAAGATACACTTCAAAATTTCATGCACAACTGATCACATTGTCTCACAGTTTTAACTTCTCAAAATTTAATAGTTTTTGATTCGTGAAACCATATTCTAGATCAGAATAACTTTTGATGATTTAAATTGCATATTTGTAAATGCCTTAACCTTTTTCTGGTCAACTATTTATGCACTGGCCATTGAATATTTCCGGACACAAATACAAAAATGCTTTGACCAATTAAAATGAGATAAAGACCATTCCACGCACGCTAGGCCAATGGGAGGCGGGGCTTTCAAACTGCCAAACGGAGTTGTCCTCCTTTTCAAACCAACCACTTCCGTTTCGCCAATGATTGCACTACGATGAATAAAAAGTGCAGCAGGCTACATATTCCCTCCTAGGTACGTCAAAAGTCAATCTTTATGGAGAGCTAGTATGTTTTGATTATTTTTCAAATTTTACAGTCACTTTAGAATATAAAAATATTTTAGATGTTTTAACATTAAATATCAAAACAGCTAATTATAGAGTCAAGACCGGGACCATCCAATAGCTATTATTTACAGGGTCCAATACAAGGTTATGAATTTAGCATTCAAGACATGAACCTTAAAAATACTAAAAAAAGGAAAAATAGTCCTATTCCAAACAGAACTGGTTAGATCTTGAATCACAATTCTGAGATCTATCATTTGGAATTAGATTACACTCCCAGAAAGCTAGACACTCCCTAAAGTAGCACTAGCAGAACCAATACAAAATACGAAAATCTCAAGTATCCAACAATTTGCTTCTAGATCTGTTCAAATCAAATTCGATAGATCAATGGGTTTTAGGACATCATCTTCATCAACAATTAGTATAGATATGCCTAAACACTTAGCAACAGGAAAAAGATCAGTTTCAGAAAGACCATCAACTTCCTTTATCTTAATCTAGCTCCAAGATTTGGATCTCTCTTCCAAAATTCCACAAGCAAGATATGCAACTAGCAGACCTACCCTTTCAAAAATCCAAGATGAATTCTCTGATGACACTGATTAGGAAGAACTTTCCAGATCTGCTACATATTCCTCCATAACGGATAATCGACCTCAACTTGATGAGTTGAGGGTACTTACATTTGAGTACTAGATCGACAAACAAAACCTCAGGACAGAGTTTTATGTAGAACATAATTATGCTAAAAGAGCATGGTTCTTCAACAAATACAAGGGACGGCCCCAACAAGAAATACAAGAAGAATTCTACAGCCTCCTATGAAGAACAAGACAACACATCCAATTCTTCAATTTGTTTCTCAGAGAAACGGAATTGATTATCTTTTCTCCCAAACAACAAATGTAGTAAAAAGGTGACAGACAGTTGAGGGAGAAATCCAAGTAGAACTTTCACCACCAAAAATCAATTACCTTCTCATACAAATCAACAAAAATCAATGCCAAGCCATTGAAACTCAAAACTGCCCAGGATGAAGAACAGTCAATGCCAAGGACATCCAGAGAATCTATGATATAAGTCAAGCTCTGCCATCGGATAAGATTCAAGTTTCACTAGGACCAGTTACGCGAGCTCGAGCTAAGAAGCTATGAGAGGCACTTCAAGGCTAGTCCATGAAGTTCAAAGTCAAGAAGTTGTTCCAAAGGACATTGAAGGGCTTGAACATGATGAATTGAAACTTGTCCACCTTATTCAAGTAAAGGAAAAGGCCGATGGTTCAATTTCTAGTTCATTCGGCTTCAACTCAGCAAAGTCGTTATAAGGTGCGACCACGCTTTATAAGGACAAGTTTTCTCCCATCTAATTACTTCATCTCAACAAAGTTGTTATAAGGCGTGGGCACGCTTTATAAGGACAAGTTTTCTGCCCATCAACTTCATTCGGTCTTTACATGTTGATGTTTTCATTTGATTAGTTGTGTCATTTAGAGTGTTTCTAGTAGCAATCTAGTCACTTTATTTAGTGTAAGAATCAGCTATTCAAAAGCTTATAAGAGCCGATTTTAAGAGTCATACTTAATTAACAAACTTTATCATGTTTTAGTCTTTCTAAATCACATTAGGGTTTGGTTGTAAGGCTATAAATATAGCCTCTTTAAGTGACATTTTTTTTAGACACATTGAATAATATTCCAGATTTCAGAGTTTTCTTTATCTTGGCTTTTATGAAAGCACCTTGAACATTTTAGAGGAGTCCTTTGAGTGTTCTACGACTTATCGATCGAAGATCACATTTTATTGTGGCGTCATCTACCTCATACCAAGGTTTGTTAACCACGTGATTAACGGGTCAAGGTCTTCCGCTTCCAAACTTTGATACCAATTCTAGATCCTTGGGCTTGTCTTTTACGGGTTTCATTGACGAAAGCACGTTGAACATCTTAGAGGAGTCCTTTGAGTGTTTTACGACTTATCGATCGAAAATCACGTTTTATTGTGGCGTCATCTACCTTATACCAATGTTCATTAACCACGTGATTAACGGTCAAGGTCTTCCGCTTCCAAACTTTGATACCAATTCTAGATCCTTGGGCTTGTCTTTTACGGGTTTCATCGCGTAAAAGACCTTGACCCATTAATCACGTGGTTAACGAACCTTGGTATAAGGTAGATGACGCCACAATAAAATGTGATCTTCGATTGATAAGTTGCAGAACACTCAAAGGACTCCTCTAAGATGTTCAAGGTTCTTTTGTCGACGAAACCCGCAAAAGACAAGCCCAAGGATCTAGAATTGGTATCAAAGTTTGGAAGAGGAAGACCTTGACCCATTAATCACGTGGTTAACGAACCTTGGTATAAGGTAGATGACGTCACAATAAAACGTGATCTTCGATCGATAAGTCGTAGAACACTCAAAGGACTCCTCTAAGATGTTCAAGGTGCTTTCATAAAAGCCAAGAGAAAGAAAACTCTGAAATCTGGAATATTATTCAATGTGTCTAAAAAAAATGTCACTTAAAGAGGCTATATTTATAGCCTTACAACCAAACCCTAATGTGATTTAGAATGACTAAAACATGATAAAGTTTTTTAATTAAGTATGACTCTTAAAATCGGCTCTTATAACCTTTTGAATAGCTGATTCTTACACTAAATAAAGTGACTAGATTGCTACTAGAAAACACTTTAAATGACACAACTAATCAAATGAAAACATCAACATGTAAAGACCGAATGAAGTTGATGGGCAGAAAACTTGTCCTTATAAAGAGTGCCCACGCCTTATAACAACTTTGTTGAGATGAAGTAATTAGATGGGAGAAAACTTGTCCTTATAAAGCGTGGTCGCGCCTTATAATGACTTTGCTGAGTTGAAGCCGAATGAACTAGAAATTGAACCATCGGCCTCTTCCTTTACTTGAATAAGGTGGACAAGTTTCAATTCATCATGTTCAAGCCCTTCAATGTCCTTTGGAACAACTTCTTGACTTTGAACTTCACGGACTAGCCCTTGAATCTTATCCGATGGCAGAGCATGACTTGTATCATTCCTTTCCTCTTGAAAAGGATTTGTCCTCAAATCAGATTTATCATCTACAAGAAAAGGAGAAAGGTCAGATACATTAAATGTAGGGCTCACATTATACTCACCAGGAAGATTAAGCTTATAGGCATTGTTATTAATGCGCTCAAGGATTTGAAATGGTCAATCTCCTTGTGGAAGTAACTTATTGCGTTTTTGTATAGGAAATCTTTCCTTGCGCAGATGCAACCATCCCCAGTCACTAGACTCAAACACCATGCGTTGTCGCCCTTTGTTAACTCGTTGAGCAATTTGTGTTGTCCTTTGTTCAATATTCACATGAACTCGTTCATACAAATTCTTCACAAAATTTGCTTTCTTAGCACCATCTAAATTAACACGCTCAGAATGAGGCAAAGGTGACAAATCTAATGGTGTTAAAGGATTAAAACCATAGACTATCTCAAATGGTGAAAAACGAGTAGAACTGTGCATAGTTTGATTGTATGCAAACTCAACATGAGACAAGCACTCTTCCCAACTCCTAATATTCTTTCTAATGATGGAA